CACCCGGGAGGGGCTCTCCGGAGGCTGTGTCTCCTCCCAAGTATTTCACCTCTGTACCATCGACCTCAGACAACGACGGTGGGGCGAGTTCCCATCCCCCCGACAAGCACCGCTCTACGCTTCGATCCAGACTAGAACAGCCATGGATCGAGTATGGGAGGGAGGGTCATTGGCAGGTAGGCGGGAGCCACCGTACGTCCTATGGTGTAGGTGTTGGTTGTGAGGAGGAGGAACCCAGTCCAGAGAACAGCAAATATGCGCCTTAGGCTTCGCACGGCTTACCCCTCACGTCACTTCATCCTGCCAACCGTGTTCACCGTTGGGTTCTACGAGCGAGGAGGGAGGGGCAGAGCGTCACCGTGGGAGGACCCAGACAGGGGAACTTTGCCCAACCCCCCCCAAAGGATCTCCACCCTCTCCTCGCTCAACCTTATTATTTCCGATACCTTCTGCTGACGAGTCAGAGCCCACTATGCCCCTCTGAAGCTCGTCTAGTCCGGCTGCCGCGGCGATCACACAGAGGTGGGAGCGACCGCACCCCAGAGCTGCCCCACGCCCCATATATTTCGCCCTCACCATCAACCCCTGGGTCGCGACAGCGGAGGATTCCCTCTCTCCCGGCACGACACCAACCCAGTACTCCGGCCCCCATACTGAAGCAGCAGCGGACCGGAAGCAAAGGAGGTACACGACGGGAGAGGAGGAGCCGCTATAACGCCACGTGTGCAGGTCATGGCTGAGGGGGGCGGAGGACAGTCCGGGGAGCAGCCACACCCCCCATGTCACATCGACGCGCCAAACCAGCCTATAGTGGTTGGGTATTAGGTGTGTGAAAGGGCCTAGTATATTTCTTGCATTTTAAGGGGATTTGGGGTGAACTTAGCCATAACGTTTCCTTAAAACGACCATTCTTTGTCCCATTTCTATGGAGGCTATTTGCAAAAATCTGGAGGCTGGATTTGTTCTAGTTGCGTTGCCCTGGCATGCTACAACTGTCTTGTAGCTGCTCCGATTAGTCAGAGGGTGGGAGTCTTTCGCTCGCTGTCTTGTGTTCGGCAATATATCGCTTATTTCTTAATTGCCTTTAGGCCTCTTTACAGTCACCGTTCCCTAGAGGCCATTGTTGCCTACACCCTTTTCAGTTGAACTTTGTCCAGCTCCATTGATTGCATTACTCAATCGCCCTGCCGCCCTTCCAGTTGCCTCTTTGGTCGCATTTGTTCACCCCATTCCCAGCCTATTATCTCTGTATCCGTTCCAGCTTCATGCGTTAGGCCCAGGTCAGGGAGGTTCTGGTCATTCCATAATGGATGACTGTGACATCATCCGGGAAGCCGCCTACCCTAGGGGCATAATCGTCCTATCGATCAGTTTTAGCCAGGCCTCACCTGGATGGGCCCTCGACTATACCCAACCCATCCACGAGTCATCCTCCGGAAGAGCTATCAATCTGTCAATCCTTTCCGTGTCCGGGCCGGGTGAGGTTTCCCGTGTTGAGTCAAATTAAGCCGCAGGCTCCACTCCTGGTGGTGCCCTTCCGTCAATTCCTTTAAGTTTCAGCTTTGCAACCATACTCCCCCCGGAACCCAAAGACTCGTGGTTTCCCGCACGCTGCCCGGCGGGTCATGGGAATAACGCCGCCGGATCGCGGGTCGGCATCGTTTACGGTCGGAACTACGACGGTATCTGATCGTCTTCGAACCTCCGACTTTCGTTCTTGATTAATGAAAACATTCTTGGCAAATGCTTTCGCTTTCGTCCGTCTTGCGCCGGTCCAAGAATTTCACCTCTAGCGACGCAATACGAATGCCCCCGGCCGTCCCTCTCAATCATGGCCCCGGGTTCCAGAAACCCACAAAATAGAACCGGAGTCTTATTCCATTATTCCTAGCTGCGGTATTCAGCGGCGGCTGGGCGGCCTGCTTTGAACACTCTAATTTTTTCAAAGTAAACGCTCCGAGCCCCGAGGTACCGGACACCCAGTCAAGGGCATCCGGGGGGCGCCGGGAGGCCTGGGGGTCCGGGACCGGCGGTAGCTCGCCTCACGGCGGACCGCGCGGCCCGGTCCCCGAGATCCAACTACGAGCTTTTTAACTGCAGCAACGTTAGCATACGCTATTGGAGCTGGAATTACCGCGGCTGCTGGCACCAGACTTGCCCTCCAATGGGTCCTCGCCCATGGGTTTAGGATACGCTCATTCCAATTACAGGGCCTCGAAGGAGACCTGCATTGTTATTTTTCGTCACTACCTCTCCGTGTCGGAAATGGGTAATTTGCGCGCCTGCTGCCTTCCTTGGATGTGGTAGCCGTTTCCCAGGCTCCCTCTCCGCAATCGAACCCTGATTCCCCGTCACCTGTGGTCACCATGGTAGGCGACGGACCTACCATCGAAAGTTGATAGGGCAGACATTCGAATGAACCGTCGCCGCCGCGAGGGCGTGCGATCGGCCCGAGGTTATCTAGAGTCACCAAAGCGAGGCCGGGGGCGGACGGCGGCGGGTAGGCGCGAGGCCCCCCTCTCCACCGCCCGCGCACCCGCATGGGTTTTGGGTCTGATAAATGCACGCGTTTCCGGGGACCCACCCCACCCCGCCACATAGGGGGAGAAGGGCGGCCCAGGTCGGCGCTCGTTGGCATGTATAAGCTCTGGAATTGCCACAGTTATCCAAGTAACCGGGAGGAGCGATCAAAGGAACCATAACTGATTTAATGAGCCATTCGCAGTTTCACTGTACCGTCCGTGTGCACTTAGACTTGCATGGCTTAATCTTTGAGACAAGCATATATTACTGGCAGGATCAACCAGGTAGCCCCTCACACATCAGGTAAAATGCCAGAGGGAGAGGGGGGGAGAGGCGGCGGTTACCCACTGCCTACCCGCCACCCATCCGGCCTTCACGCAGAAGGGGGGTTGGGGTATGCCGCGAACGGGCATGGCTTCTAATCGAGGCCATCACCAGGAAGGTTCGTGCTTCGTAACGGGAACAACTGCGCCAGAGATGCCGCGCACACCTACCCGGCACACCAATCCTACCCCACCGCCAGCCAACACGCCCGGGGTCCAGCCCGGGAGGGTGGGGAGGACAGGGAGGGATGCTGCCCGGTTAAGGCGCACGCACAACACCAACTTACGCACCTATTCCCGTCAATGTAGGACATTCCGAGGCAGACGGGCCATCTGAGTCTATTTCACCCAATAAGCTAGGGTCGAGGACCGGGTGAAGACCCACCTCGCCCTCCTTTCGAATGCCCAAATCGGGGAGGATCTCACCCCACCCACAGCGGTCCCCTTTGTCAGATGACCGGGCGAGGGGCCTGCCCCTGGGGCATCGCGCACAATTCCCATCGGTCATGTGGTGGAAGGCGGTGGCACGTAGTTACGCGCTCAAAACCTAAGTCCGCTAAATCACGCCTTCCCCGAAACCTCGACGGCAGGTCAGCGATAACCAGCTACGGTTACCCGGACGTCCGGCAGGGAAAGGCCCGAGAGGTCACACCCTGCCCGGCTTGAGGCCAGAGCTCGAGGGTCATGGATGTCAGAGTGGACTGGTGATTTAAGGCTTCTCGCTTTCTGAAACGGTACCGATGGTTACCCACAATTAACTTTGCAGGAAACTGTGCTGCTGGTCACCCAAAAATAACTTTGTCTCTCAGATTGGTGCTGTTGGTTACCCACAACTGACATTGTGCGCTGGGCTGGCTGGCTGGCCGGCCTGGGCTTGCCTGACCTGGCCTGGCCTGGCTGGGCTGGGGGTGGCTGGCTGGGCTGGGGGTGGCTGGCTGGCTGGCCGGCCTGGGCTTGCCTGACCTGACCTGGCCTGGCTGGGCTGGGGGTGGCTGGCTGGCTGGCCGGCCTGGGCTTGCCTGGCTGGGCTGGGGGTGGCTGGCTGGCTGGCCGGCCTGGGCTTGCCTGACCTGACCTGGCCTGGCTGGGCTGGGGGTGGCTGGCTGGCTGGCCGGCCTGGGCTTGCCTGACCTGGCCTGGCCTGGCTGGGCTGGGGGTGGCTGGCTGGCTGGCCGGCCTGGGCTTGCCTGACCTGGCCTGGCTGGGCTGGGGGTGGCTGGCTGGCTGGCTGGCCGGCCTGGGCTTGCCTGACCTGACCTGGCCTGGCTGGGCTGGGGGTGGCTGGCTGGCTGGCTGGCCTGGGCTTGCCTGACCTGGCCTGGCCTGGCTGGGCTGGGGGTGGCTGGCTGGCTGGCCGGCCTGGGCTTGCCTGACCTGACCTGGCCTGGCTGGGCTGGGGGTGGCTGGCTGGCTGGCCGGCCTGGGCTTGCCTGACCTGGCCTGGCCTGGCTGGGCTGGGGGTGGCTGGCTGGCTGGCCGGCCTGGGCTTGAAGCCGGGAGACATGGGCCGGCCTACGACCCCACCACATGGAACCCGTTCACCAGCCGTGCCCGGGCACCCCACTATTAAGCCCGGGGACACTGACTTTGTTAAAATGCACTTGCCAGACTCATGTGCTGCTGGTGACCCATTTCAGTAATGCGTGCCGCTGGTGGCCCTCTTGGCCTTTACTATTTGGATTTGGGGGCTGCGTGCCGCTGGTGACCCAATCGAGTATTGTTTGACGCTGGTTGCCCACCTCACCTTTACTATTTGGATTTGGGGGCTGCGTGCCGCTGGTGACCCAATCGAGTACTGTTTGACGCTGGTTGCCCACCTCGGCTTTACTATTTGGATTTGGGGGCTGCGTGCCGCTGGTGACCCAATCGAGTATTGTATGACGCTGGTTGCCCACCTCGCCTTTACTATTTGGATTTGGGGGCTGCGTGCCGCTGGTGACCCAATCGAGTATTGTTTGACGCTGGTTGCTCACCTCGTCTTTACTATTTGGATTTGGGGGCTGCGTGCCGCTGGTGACCCAATCGAGTATTGTTTGACGCTGGTTGCCCACCTCGCCTTTACTATTTGGATTTGGGGGCTGCGTGCCGCTGGTGACCCAATCGAGTATTGTGTGCTGCTGGTGACCCACCTGGCTGTCACTACTGGAGTTTGGCCGGCCGCCGTTGGTGCTCTTACCGCCTTTATTCTCTTGGTAGACGGCTGGCTGGGCGCAGCCACTACGTCGCTATTGAAGCACCAGAACTTCCACTTCACCGAGCCACGGGGCAATGCACACCCGGGGGATAGTGTGCAAGCCTGGGCAGGGATTGGCAGACATGTCCTGGTGATCTATAGCCACGGAGTTTGGCTGGACACCACCAACCCACACTAAACTTATAAACCATGCCCAAAACGGACGACAGGAGCCGGCTTGCAGGGCGCAGGCGCAGCGTGGCCGTTACCACTAGCGGAGATCACTGATCGACCGAGCCACGGGGCAACGCACACCCGGGGGGAGATGTGCAACGCCCGGGAAAAACCCAACAGGACGCCCCGCAAGGCAACACACACGGAGACACCACCAACCCACACTAAACTTATAAACCATGCCCAAAACGGACGACCGGAGCCGGCTTGCGGGGCGCAGGCGCAGCGTGGACGTTACCACTAGCGGAGATCACTGATCGGCCGAGCCACGGGGCAACGCACACCCGGGGGGAGATGTGCAACGCCCGGGAAGGACCCAACAGGACGCCTCGCAAGGCAACACACACGGAGACACCACCAACCCACACTAAACTTATAAACCATGCCCAAAACGGACGACCGGAGCCGGCTTGCGGGGCGCAGGCGCAGCGTGGACGTTACCACTAGCGGAGATCACTGATCGGCCGAGCCACGGGGCAACGCACACCCGGGGGGAGATGTGCAACGCCCGGGAAGGACCCAACAGGACGCCCCGCAAGGCAACACACACGGAGACACCACCAACCCACACTAAACTTATAAACCATGCCCAAAACGGACGACCGGAGCCGGCTTGTGGGGCGCAGGCGCAGCGTGGCCGTTACCACTAGCGGAGATCACTGATCGGTCGAGCCACGGGGCAACGCACACCCGGGGGGAGATGTGCAACGCCCGGGAAGGACCCAACAGGACGCCCCGCAAGGCAACACACACGGAGACACCACCAACCCACACTAAACTTATAAACCATGCCCAAAACGGACGACCGGAGCCGGCTTGCTGGGCGCAGCCACAACGCCGCTATTGAAGCACCAGAAATTCCACTTCACCGAGCCACAGGGCAATGCACACCCGGGGGAAAGTGTGCAAGCCTGGGCAGGGATTGGCAGACATGTCCCGGTGATCTATAGCCACGGAGTTGGCTGGACACCACCAACCCACACTCAATCTATGCACCATGCCCAAAACGGACGACCAGAGCCGGCTTGCGGGGTAAAGGTGCAACGTGGTCGTTACCACTAGCGGAGATCACTGATCGGCCGAGCCACGGGGCAACGCACACCCGGGGGGAGATGTGCAACGCCCGGGGAGGACCCAACAGGACGCACCGCAAGGCAACACACACGGAGACACCACCAACCCACACTAAGACTAGGCACCATGCCCAAAACGGACGACCAGAGCCGGCTTGCGGGGTAAAGGTGCAACGTGGTCGTTACCACTAGCGGAGATCACTGATCGGCCGAGCCACGGGGCAACGCACACCCGGGGGGAGATGTGCAACGCTCGGGGAGGACCCAACAGGACGCACCGCAAGGCAACACACACGGAGACACCACCAACCCACACTAAGACTAGGCACCATGCCCAAAACGGACGACCAGAGCCGGCTTGCGGGGTAAAGGTGCAACGTGGTCGTTACCACTAGCGGAGATCACTGATCGGCCGAGCCACGGGGCAACGCACACCCGGGGGGAGATGTGCAAAGCCCGGGGAGGACCCAACAGGACGCACCGCAAGGCAACACACACGGAGACACCACCAACCCACACTAAGACTAGGCACCATGCCCAAAACGGACGACCGGAGCCGGCTTGCGGGGCGCATGCGCTACCCTGGAGATGCAAAATATGTATCGCTCAAAACCTAAGTCCACTAAATCACGCCTTCCCTGAAACCTTGACGGCAGGTCAGCGATAACCAGTTACGGCAGCCCGTACCTCCGGCAGAGAAAGGCCCGAGAGGTCACACCCTGTCCGGCTTGAGGCCAGAGCTCGAGGGTCATGGATGTCGGAGTGGACTGGTGATTTAAGGCTTCTCGCTTTCAGAAACGGTACCGATGGTTACCCACAATTAACTTTGCAGGAAACTGTGCTGCTGGTTACCCAAAAATAACTTAATTTGCAGAAACGGTGCTGCTGGTGCCCCAAACCGAACTATTGGGAGGAAATGAAAGGTTCAGTAGACTTTTTGCTCTGAATGAATGGCTATTAACATGGTGTAAAGGACAGAAATTGCTCTTTGCTAATAACTGGAATCTTTCCTGGGAGCGTCCTAGGCTCTTCCGTGCTGACGGCCTGCACCCCAGTCGAGCCGGAGCTGAACTCCTGTCGGACAACATCTCTAGATTACTTCGCGCCATCTGATTAGCAGGTAAAAATTCACAAAATTTACATTATAGCCACCTAGACTCTTGTTTGTCCTACT